CTTTAGTGCAACGTTGTTCCTTTCCAGCTGAATTATTCTGTCATTGTGATCTTTTGGCAGCATGCCCCCGTTAGGGCCGGTTCGCGCTAGCAGAGAGCATGTCTCGCCGTTTGACGTTCTCAGTCAGCCATGCGCAGCAGTTTGCTTTGCGCACGTCTGCTGTTCTTCACCGTTCCCGAAAATCGGTGCAAAACCCAATTCTGCGCCGCTTGCCATTTGCCGGAGAGTGACATAGCCAATCACCGACGGAGGAGCGACACGGCTGAGCCACGTCGTCTACTTTCGCCTCTCCGCATCATCTGCGTCTGTCGCGGGACACTTCAAGCTGCTTGCTTCTTGCTCCGCGGTTTTCACAATATGTCGTACGTGTTGTTCCCAGTCCACCCTACAGCAATAAATAGAGCATTTCAGCCTATCTGGTATATAAAATAGCACACAGTAAATCGAAACGACGCCTCCTAAATCAGGAGTTTGGACAAGGGGCGCCCGCTGTCGAGCATCAGCAACAACTGAAAAACATGTAATGTATGCCCTACGAGATAAGGCAATGCTTGCTTAAGCCTACAACATCAATTATTGTATGGCTCTCAAACATGGTGGCGAATCGATTTGACTACTGAGCTTTCAAAGTTAAAGGACATAAGTCTGAAGCGAATGGAAACATCATTTACAGAGCGCATGGTGGCCGCTAGATAGATTCGAGGCGGTCGACAACTGCGTTCTAAAGGGCAGCCCTCATTGTCGGAGGCTCAAATACCTTGCCGGCGAAGCTTGTCATGCATTTTAACAGCTGTCCTGCGGACGGCGCCGGCCGCCAGTCTACGGCCCCGTGCCGTCAGGGCAGACTTGTCCTTAGCGCGAACCGGCCCTTACCTGTTCCTCGGATTCTCTGACGCGGTCAGCCCACTCGGTCGCCGTGGCAGCAGGCACCTGAATGCTGACAGCCGGGCCCCGTAATCGGGAACAACGCCGGGACTGCGAACGGCTTGTAGTTCGGAGACTGTTCCTGTATCGTGAGCGCCCCCTCAAGCTGCTTGATTTAAACCTGAACTTGTTGGCCCGTTCGGATAGCTCATGTACTGGTGCGAAATCCTTGTCAAAGTCGTGTCTCTCTTTTGCGCTGTCTGACGATGTAAGGTATCTCGAATCTTTTTCTACAGGTTTTGTCGGCCGTTGGATGAGGCCCTCCACAGAAGGCACACTTCGGCGAACAAACGTGCTTGTTTCCAGGGGAGGTAATTCCGCAACCCCGGCAGATAATATTTCACGAAGTGGGGCAGAAGTCCGCTCTGTTGTCGTCTACCACATGCATAGGAGACGTCCATCGGCCGTCGGTAGATGGTGCTTTTGACCATGCTGAGGCCATACATGACGTAATCTCGGACTCGAAGTCCTTCAAAAGGAACAACAATTGTCGTGGAAATCTTGATTTGCCGTACTTCCAGAACAATGGGATTCCTCGGCTGAATAAGAAGTCTTCCGAGCTCTTCATCGTGAATTTACATATTGATGTTTCTGATGATGCCCTTACATTTGTCGTCGGGTGCAGCAATGTATGTACCCGGCGCTATTAACGATGATGGCCTCCAGACTTGCGTAGGCCTTGGCGTTGGCTTGTGATGGCATACTAATCAAAATAAGTTTCTACATAGCGTTAAGAAAATAGATGTCTTCTGTGATAACCGCAGTGGGCAGTCGCACCGCTGTCGTGAGGGCTTCAGAAATCTGGACGTTACTAGTATTCCTAACGTTCCGGCCTCCCCGGGGTCTAAAATTGATTCGAAAATGTTTTTTTTTTTTGGATGAGACAGCCTTGACGTTTTGGCGAGCCGTTTTTTCACGTTGGCGGGAAATTGACTGCCACCGTTCTTGCCATATGGTGGGATTTGATTTTCAGTACCCATCACGGATTCTTTAGTTGACTTACGCTTAGAAAGCGCCGTTTAAATCGAGAACACTGAAATTCTTCGGGAGAAATGTCTTCCCCTTGCACAGTGACTTTCATAACCATCTTGATAGCTCAAACGCTCTAAACCTAGCGTTAGGCTTAGCTAAGGCTAAACTTACGCCTAGCAAGCCACAGCGTTGTCGTGCGTAAATGTTCTTCAGTATTCCGCAAAAGGTGCACCCACTGTGATGAAATTGTTTGCACGTGGTCCTCAATACTTCAGGCGTCGACTAGAGCTAAGAGCATCAAACACATAGCTAACTTTTTAAAAAAAGTTAACAAGCAGGATCCGGTGTTTGGACGACCACATGAATCGGCGCCCCCTAGCGTTCCACCAGCGAATAAAAAAACAGCTACAACAAAATTTCTTAGCAGTACCGAGGATTCCCTTCATTTGTGTCTAACACAGGTCGCGCGCAGCTCAGCCGCACAGACATGCGCGCCCAAAAGAATTCGGAGGGTATAAGTATCAGCTAGCGCGCGTGAGTTGAATCGACATTGTGTCAGTACACGTGTATAAGGTGAACGCTTATCATTCAGCCTATCAAGATTTCGAGGCTGTCGGCTACACTGCTATATATGATTGTACAGTCGAAAACACAAAATTGGGCGAAATCTGTTGATCGAGCATAATAGTCATGTGAAATGAGGAAGAACTGGTGGAGGAATGCACGGCAAAGCTAGGTTGGAGACAATTCACGTTTCATATTTCCCGAATCCATTTCGTGCGTCGGTATGGTGGCGCTACAGCTCGGCTTGCCGCTCGACTAGTGCGTCCCCAACCCGCATAAAATGATTGATTGATATGAGTGGCTTACCGTTCCAAAACCACTATGCGATAAAATCTAATAACATTCTGCAAAAATTTGCGCATCCTTAAAAAAAACAAGAGAGCGTCATTTCTCACAAATTTTTCACACCATCAACGAGACTGCTGTTCTTGCTTACATCGCCTTGGCAGGGTGCACGTTTCCACTTTTTTCAATTCTTTGGCGGACGTCGGAGCGCGCTCTCTGCAGGCGCTTGCCTTCCCAACAGGACCAGCGGCTCATCGCTTTTGTCGCACTCACGTCTCCCTTGGACATTGCAATGTTAACAATGTGTAATAGTCATGGCCACACATCAGACAATGAGCCCTGATATTGCTCAGCTGCCATCGCATCCACAGAAATGTTTCAGATGCTTAAAGGGATCCGGAAACGGTTTTGGCAATTTTTTACTAACAAGTTGGCCGGTAGGCCAAGTCCCAAGGGTAATTTAGACACCAATTTGAGCTCTCTGCGTAAACTGTGTAATTTATTACGAAACTTCAAAGCTGCGAATCGCCCGAGATCGCTTAAGATCGCTGCGACTCGGTCAAACGCATTTTCAACCGCCCACACACCAAGCATGCGATCTGCCCTATTGGCGTCATCGTTTTCAGCTGATCTGCTGGACTGCGAAACACGCAGCACAGGTATTTATTTTCTAATAAACAGAAACAAATGTTGTTCGTAATTTGTAAAACACTTTATAATTTATTTTGATTAACAATTATTACACAGAAACAGAAGACGATCGCAGTTTACAACTAAGCTTTAGAACTTCCGGCACACGGCGAACGTCGTTTGCTTGGATCCCACAGACTCCATGTTGGCTTGAGATGCGCCACGAATGGGTATCACGCGGTTGTTGCGACATCACAGAACACCTATACACTGTGACACCATGAATCACCCTTGCCTCATTGTGGGCTGCAAGTCAATTGTTTGGCGACCATGAAGATACGACACCGTATGCCTGTGAAAAAACAGCAGGTGTGCCAACACGTATGCGGTCGTCACTTCAAGCTGGAAGACTACGAACGCGATTCCGTGCTTGTGCGGCGAAGTGAAGAGGCATCCCTTCAAATCCGATGCATTGCCGTCTTTGTTCCTTTCTGGTGAAAATGTAAGTTCACGGTCGATCCGGATCGTGCGACACGCACTGAAAACGCGGTTCGCACGTGTGTTCAGAAAATACTAGGTAACTTCGTTAATTATGACTACAACGACTTTGTCTTTTCAATTCAATGTGGTCCACTTCGCAATAATTATATACACGCTGAAAGACTTTCGCTGGCTCACGATTTCCCCAACCAATTATAAAATGGCAGGCTGCCTTTTCGTACAAGTGTATACGTTGTTGGGCCAGCTGTAAAATGCAGGTTCAAATGTACGGCATGCATGTTATAAATGATAAGCTCAAAGAAAGCCCCGCAATAGTGCAACACGTGTTCGATGGCTTCGATAGGCTACGGTCCGATTTCTCTCGTTGTATTCATGCCGAATAGCAATAGCACGGTGCGCTAGAAAATCGTCTCACAGTGCTGGTGTCGAAAGTGCCTTTAAGCTTATGCTTCAACTACAGCGCATATGCTTTCTTTGTTCAATGATTTGCCGGTGTGAATGCAAATTTATGTATGTGTAAAGGTGGCCTTGTAAGTGAAAGCGTGCCGTTTGATGGATGGTTTATTCCATCGACTATGCTTGGGGAAATTCATGCAAAAAGCTTATGGCTGCTTACGGGCCTGATTATAAGCATGCAGCTTTACGTTGTGACATAATATGCAGGAAAAAAAGAAGCCGAGAAATATTTGCACCATAGTGTCTCCTAATTAAAAATTATTTGGTTACCTGCGGTTCACCAATTGTTTATGCCAAATTGCATGATCACCACATCACAGCAGCGCAATGAAGTGTTCGATTCACATCTAACAAGTACTTGACAGGTCATCAGAAAAGAAGTGCTAATTAGTAGAACTGTATGCAGAGTTATTGTGCTTATTCCATCGGAGATGGAAAAAAACGAAAATGACAAAGTAGTTGCTATACTAATACAATAAACTCACCAGCCTCTTTGAGTATGATACAAGATTTCTTGGCAGCATGTTTTTTGTACACAAACATAAAACAATTCTTGCTTTGTATATAGAAATATTCACATAAAATGTGTGAATGGAAATGCAAAGACAACACTTAAAACCATTTTCATCCATTGTGCCTGTGGCAAAAGAAATTACTACTTTTTTCAGCGTCACACACTGCCCCAGAAAAGTGTCGGAGAGTTTGCACAGTCTTGGTACCTTCTGCTAGCCAGGTTAGTCTTGCTTTGTTTGTGTACATTGGCACGGCACAAAAGAATGGAATGTATATGTGTTGCATAGTATTGCTGCATATTATGGAAAATAACTCAGTAACACCTTTCTTATGCAGCCACACACTGTGCAACTGGCTGATGCCGGATAAGGCAGCCCGACTTCCACGGCTCTCAGCTGCCAGAGGAGAAAATATTTTGTGTTCTTTGAAACATAACTTGGCACCAGGGAAGTTATCGTAAAAACCAGAAGCATTTTAATATTCCTAAGCGTGTTGATGTTGTTTAAAACGAACACAAGCTTCTTTATGTAAAGTGATTTTAATACCACATTGCCACAAAGACAGTGTGATGTATAAAATGTAGTTTATCAAAAGTGCAGGTGCAGCATAATGTGTTTATTATCACCACCTCATATCCAGACAACCACACAAAAACTGTGCAAAAGGAAACCACGCGTACAATTGCAACTCGGAAGACAATAGAATGCCGGTCCGTTGGTAAGTTGACCTAAAGGTTGAAAAATGCACGTATGAGGCATAAAATGTAGAGTAGCTGTTCAGTTACAGTATTCACACCCAAGCTCCTAAACAAAGAAAACTTGCAGAAAATGATGCATGATGATGAACGATTGGGCATGACACCATTCGAAGAACTTTTGTTTATTTGAGTGTTTCATAACCACCTCAGCTACGCAGGTGAATATGACTCCGAAGGTGCTAGTTTCGGCGAATACACAGACAGCAGTTGCCTTCACCACAGAATATGCAATGCAGACACAGTGTGGTGCTTCATCACATGAGCAGCAGTAGCCGCTCTTGCCGATGTTGCTTCAGTGCCACTGCTCCCAGAGGTTTCAGTCCTCTCGGTGGCTCAACACCTGTCCGAATAGATGAATCTTCCCCCGCTAAAAAAAGCCAGCTGCTGATACATCTCTCCAAATGGACGGATCTTTCCCTGCTGAGGAAGAAAAGCCAGCTGTTGAAGTTGACGTCACATACTTGCCTTCATTCAGCTAGAGTTTCTGTAGGTATTGCAACCATTCAGTGATCTTTAACGTGTGATGGGCATGTAGTCACAAACTAGTTCGCACACTGAAACCACCACGTGAGACAAGTATTCTCTGGGGTAGTGTGTCCTCTTTCATGTTTGCATTAAAGGAAGTTAAGCCCCTTAGTTCTCAGAAACATTTCACTTCGGAGTAGTTGTGATAATTTATTAGAAGGCAGAGAGGTCAGCCTGAGCTAGTTAGCTGTAGAGTAGTTCACGACAGTTCACGTATCTTTGCCAGAACACAAATGGTCCACTCTGCAGTGCATGCTCATTTTACCCACCTGTGTATTTTAGAACTTTACGAATATGTCTGAGGCAGTTCCATTCCTATGAAAAGCCTGCCGAGACACTTTCATGCATTAGGATGAACCTGCAGAATTTATAATGATGCACATAAGAGCTTGTACAATTAAATGCAGGCCCGTTGCCAGAAAATTTTCAGGAGTGGCCCACCTGCTGAGTGCCTTTAAAAACCCGTATTTTCATTATTTATGTTCGGTAGAATACACCCCTCCATCCAAACTTCAAGGAGGGTAGGGCAGGCCCTTAGGACACCCTTATTACTGGCCATGGGTCTCGTTGAGCACCTGTATAGGAGACATACATTGGGGAGCATCGAAAAATCATGTGAATTTTCATATCAACCATATTTCAAACTAGGTACACTGGTTCTCTTATGCCACTGTCTCTTATATGAGTGTATCTTATATAGGAGTCAGACTATATAGGCAGCATCTATAAAGCCTCTTTATTGACATTAGCTAGACTAGAGTATTTCTTTGACCACAGCAACGAAGAATATTGGTGCTCATTTGCAATTTATGATGCTCTATAATACAGCGGTGTTTTTAGATGTAGCTACAACTTCTAACGAGATAACTAGGAGCATAAGAGACCACGTTCCCCTGCAGTGAGTACGCTTAGGCCCAGCGGTAAGATTAGTAGAGCACTTATGCTGAAACCCATGCCTGACTAGAACACAGAGCGGCCGAAAGCATAAGACTTATTTCACACGAAAGCACACTGTAGTTCATGAACACTTTTTTTATTACAAGCATGTGTTTTCAGATGTTCACAAATAAGAAGGGGCACAGATGTTCACAAATAAGAAGGGGCACACTGACACATGTGTGCAACTACATTTTTCGCAGCATCTACAACGGGCTGCCACCTACCAAAGCAGTTTCACAGTGGGCACAACGAAACAGTAAATTGATTTCATGTGACATTATTTACACATTATTTATCTGCAAACACATCAACTTTTTTTGTGTAAGACATTGCCAGTTACTTTATATAGGACTTCCAAACAATGCTACATTTAGCTCATGGAGTGACTGCTTTGTGATAGTATACTTGTGCCACGTTTCCAGCTAATATTAAAACGAAGTGCGCCAATTACGTTTTCTTGTTTGTGAAGAGATGCACCTAAAGGGTCCCTGCAATGGTTAACTGAAGCTGCGTTAGCATTTCTACTACAGAACAATGTAATAATAAGCACCGTAAATTCAGGTATTCACCTCGCATCATGACTGCTAAAAGCTACAAGCTATTTAGCAGTGCTTTTCCTCCTGATCCTATTGAAAATGCAACTGTCACTAGTGAGCGATTGACCTGTAGCTATTTGTCAACATTATACTTGAATATTTCACCTGAACGACACTACCTATATCGGCCACTTAATGTTTTTCAGTGCACTTCGAATCAATAAACACTTTTGAAGAAATTAAGGTAATTGAGACCATAATCAATAAAAATTGTTGAAGTATCTTTGGAGGAGAAGTAATGACTTCATGTGAGTGCATACCGACACCTATTAGATATCCCAGTGCTCACTCTACTGATTGACCTCGGTAACTCCTCTCGAAGGTTGCCTGACATTAGCACTGATCACTAGATTTGTTGCAAGGTGAAATGCAAGGAGGGCAGACCATGTGGGTTAAGGACGGGGAAAAGTCTTACTTTATTCTTATCGGTCTCAAAAAATAGGAGGCTATCTCGTATTTAAGAATGAAGGGTCAGAAGAAGCCTTGCTTTAGTGGGTCTGGCTTTTTATATACTTTCTGTCGCAATGTGCGATGCTCCCACATGCTGAGCAACACAACATATGCTTCAGGCAACATAATGATTGCGGCTAAAGCCTCCTTCACAAGTACATTACAATTACTTTAATATCATCCCCTATATTTTCCTTAGCATAATTGCCAGTCAGTTCTCATTATATTGTCTAACAAAGAAAACATGTTCTTAAAAAAACCTTTTTTTCATTCATAGCGAGGGTCACGTTCTGGCAGACTTAATGCCATCAGGTAGTATGCCAGCGGATATTAGTCACCTGCCAGCCGTAAGAACGTCATTTGTTGTATGATGGCTAAAGGTAAAAAATGAGTGTCCCACACTCGCTGCAATGGCAACAGGCAGCACTGACTGACAACACCACATTTAAATGCACATACATATCCCATAAAGTATATGGGGGAACTGCCGGCATGGTAGCTCAGTTGGTACAGTGTCTGATGCATTATTCGAAGGTCGCAGGTTCAGTACCTGCTCACGCCAAGTTATTTTTTCGTCCACTTTTTTTTCAAAGTTACAATAAAATACTTTATATTAACATTTTCTATATTTTTTGGCATAATTGTCTCTCAGTTACCACTAACCTAACCAAGCCGCACTAATGAGAACGAACAATAATTCCAAAAAAGTATAGGGGACGTTATTGGTTGTGAATGTAATGTAAATGTGAAAAAATAATGGTGTACGAAAACATTGCTTTTCGTGAGCAGGGCTTGAACTTGTGAGCTTCGTATTACCCTTCCGATGCTCTACTAACAGAGCTATCGAGGCGGCCATTTGATGGCCGCCTCGATAGCTCGTCCACTTATGGGGGACATATGTGCACTAAAACGCGAGTGCGTCAATCAGCGCCACCACGTGCTACGTGACACCAACAGGAAGAAATAGTGTTTCACTTTCGCCAATATGGTTGCTAGTAGCACTGACTCACGCTGGCACTTACGGAATTTGGTAGGTTAGTTCTTATTATTAGTATGTCTAGCAAAGAGAAATGAAGCCTTAAAATTTGTATATCTTTTTTTCAACCAAGCCAGGTTGCTTGTCCTTTTTGCAATAATGAGTAACACACCAGCGCAAACGTGTCTTGTGGGGTCATTCATCTGCAGTACCCAAAACACCACAGTACTGGTATCCTAACCATGGAAGTGCCTCTCCACAGGGAATGAAAGTTCATTATGTTTAAGAGCTCCCTTCATAAACTGCTTCATATGTGGCCAAGTAGTTGGCAACCTGAACTTCAGCGTCATGGAACTCTGGTCGTTGTAGAGGGGGTGTACGAGCAACTGCACAAGCTCTGGTGGAGAAGCCAGCCACTTGTTCGAAGTAAGGGCGCTGGAGCCGGCAACTTTCTCCTGGCCGCGGGCATGCTCTACCAGGGCTGCATGGTGGATGCAACCATCCAATGCCTTGGTGCTCAAGTCATCACGAGTGCGTCTTCTACAACTACCCAAGGGCCTACTTGCTCCCTGCAGTAAAACAGGTGCACCTATTGATCAACATCTAAATATAACTATAGCAAGACTCGTAGACATATTACACAGCATGAACACAAATGCTTGTACTTCTCTTGCATTAAAGTGAATCTTACCTTTTTAGCATATTTTGCCATAGATTTACACATTGCAAAGCATTTGCTTCCATCTGTATATCTTTTTCAATGTTATCTAAATTCAGAACATGAAATAAATTTGTATAAAACTTGTACAAAACTAGCCCACATGAATTTTTGGTTACAATGCGAAAGATAAGCCTAACATTTTTGCATGCTAATATCAAAATGTAGAAACCAGTCATATGGAAAAATAATAGTTTTAAAAACAGTTTTAGCATACTGCCTCATTTATCTTACTGTGTATCATGAATACTCATGATAGAGCTGAGTATGAGATGATGAACTTGCACAGTGGTAAAATTGTAGCAGTGGTGGAATACTCGTCGGCATGAAACATCATTGCTATTATGCCAGGCCCCGGACACTCGGCGCTAGTTTCAGTTTCAAAGAACATGCACGCTCGTAGAAGTTGCTGGGCATCCTAAGATTCGGTTGAACAAAGTGAGGTTGATATGAATGTTCTCATTTATTGGCCATCATTACAAACAAAAAAGCCTACGTTCTGTAAAGAGCTTATATGTTTTTCTTATTCCTTATTTCGTGAATTTTAAATCAGGTGAATCACAAAGAGCGATTGACTTGCGTTCGTAGCGCTTTCCTCCACTCCTTCTTGTCTCTCGCTCAGCAATATTAAAAGG